TTATTATTATTATTATTATTATTATTATTATTATTATTATTATTCGCTTAAGCTGGCCTCGCTGGGAATCCGCTTTCTCCTGTGTCCGTTTCTCACAGTGTGTCCGCCAGTCCGCGCTGTGAGCGTGTCTGCGCAGCCGGGTGGGTGTGTGTGTTTATGTACCGCTTCGGTCTTTGATCTCGACTCCTGCGCTGGCCAGTGCCCTGCGCCGTGTCGCGGGGCCGTGGATAGGTACTCTGCTGGTGGGGAAGAAGCGTTACGGATTGCCCCACCCAAGCGACTTCCGTGGGCTCGGTGCAGTTCCCACGGGCCACACCCCTCATCTGACTGCTTCTTCCCGGGCTCGGGCGTGTGCGGGACAGCCCGCGAGCCGTCCCCAGCCTCCCAGTGACTCCGGGAGCTGTCCGCACGGAGACGGACCGTCTGCATGCGAATCGACTGTCCGCACGTTAACTAGCTGAGATGTTGACTTCGACTGACTGAGCAGCTGTCAGACTCCTGGGCCAAGGACTAACTGGAAAACTGTCAGGCCACTCCCTTACTCACAGAGTAACTGTCAGGATACTCGGTTCCCTTAGTCACTGACTATCAGAGTAACTGTGAGGATACTCAGTTCCCTTAGCCACTGACTATCAGAGTAACTGTGAGGATACTCAGTTCCCTTAGCCACTGACTAGCAGAGTAACTGTGAGGATACTCAGTTCCCTTAGCCACTGACTAGCAGAGTAACTGTGAGGATACTCAGTTCCCTTAGTCACTGACCAGCAGAGTAACTGTGAGGATACTCAGTTCCCTTAGTCACTGACTAGCAGAGTAACTGTGAGGATACTCAGTTCCCTAAGTCACTGACTATCGGAGTAACTGTCAGGATACTCAGTTCCCTAAGTCACTGACTATTGGAGTAACTGTCAGGATACTCAGTTCCCTTACTCATTAACTGACTATCGGAGTAACTGTGAGGATACTTGGTTACCTGCGTGGCTAATTAGCTAACTGTTTGAGTAATTGTCAGCTTACTCAGTGACGAACTACAGTACATGAGAGGCAGACTAAACAGTCCTTTAACTAGGTTGAGAGAGTGACCTTCCAATTAAAAAATCGTCAGCTGATGTACAAGGTTACTGACTGTTTTACCTATCAAGCTAAACGCCGAACTAGCTGAATGACTCACTATTTATCAATGGAAGAGTCACAGTGTAATTGACCAATCAAGCTGACCTCCTGGCTGACAGACCAAGCGCCTGATTGGTTACCTGCCAGGCTCTGGAAGGGGGTGTGGCCTGACAGTCCCAGCAGTCCCATTACACAGGCCCGGGGACACTGTCTGTCTCTCTGTACCACTGTCTCCTTCCAATACCTTCTCAGCCCCACTGAGAGAGCACGCCGCTGAGAGCTGGACTGCTCAACCCACATTCCTGCTTAGTTGCTCAATACTCAAGCAGTTATGGAGGTTATTATAGTGAAAGTGACACATTGGCACTCTGAGAG